AACAAGTTATGGGGATGGAGATATATAGTTTAAACAGGGATCTAACACTCAAAACCAAAAATATGACTGCTCTGTAGTTTAAAAAGAACTCTGATTTCATCTTTCGTCTTTATAGATAATGGTGGGTTTGTGGGAAAGGAAATTGTTCTGTCAGCTCTGCATGTATCCCATTAACACTTCCTTAACAAAAGGAGCTCAGAATCTATCACCACTTTGATCTCAGTTCTATAAAGCTAATCTTAGCCTTGGTTTTAACATGGACATTTAATTGTGTTTAATCACCTTCTGAGAAAATCAATTTAATTGACATGATACTGACCAGGACTGGTCAGCACAGATAAGGCAGAGCTATGTTCCAGCTGCTCCATCCTATCACACACACCTCTAAGCAGGCAACTAATTAATGTGCTTATCCTCATAACACCCTTGGGAGGAAAGGAAAATGTTACTCTGGGTTATTGGGGATGGCAAACTCAAGAAACAGTAAAAAGACTTCCTCAGCGTCACACAGTAAATCTCTGGCAGTGCATAGAAGGAACATCTTGTTTCATGCTGGTACCCTCATGCCTAAATCATAGAATCATAGAATGGTTAAGGTTGGAAAGGACCTCTATGCCTAAACTTTAAGACATCTATTACTACCTAACCTGATGCTGATCACAACCTGGTTTGGTAGTTGTCTCTCCTCAAACTGCTAGTATAAACACCACTCAGTTCTGTATTGAACTCTTGCCCTGCAGAGTATAAACTGCACTGAAGTGTTCAATGAAGACAAGGTTTTCCACCCAGAGCACAAACATGAATTTCAGGCACATTTTATCACAGAGTTTGACTGAAAAGCTCTAGGATGGCCTCACGGCACCCTTTGTAATTCATGTCATAACATAGGTCTGCATTATTAACCATAACATTTTATATTTCCAGAGCATCCTCCAGCCAAGGATCTCAGTACAGTTCCATCTGTTATTAAAACCTTTCAACTTTCCTGCAAAATGAATTTGACATCATTTAGGAGATGGGAAAACTGGGACATGGAGAGGAAAAAGGCCAAAAATTGAAAACAAAGTTATTTAAAGATTTTTATATTATTTTCTTTGGAAAAAAAAAAAAAAAAGTTTGTATGTGTAAAGTTCTCAGACTTGACAAGAGTAATAAAGTTATTCATCCAGCTGTGACCATCACAGATGTGCCTAGAGATGACAGTGCCTGATACAGTCTACTGCAGTTCTCAAAACATCAATGAGAATATTACACATTTGTTGATTTATTAGCACAGACTGTCCGTACAACTATCTGTGGCATGTTTTGTTCTTACTGTAAAGACCATTATATATGTTTGATTTTCACAATAGACAACAAAGCCTTGACAAAGATGATGTGTGCTGGTTCTCTGCTCTAGCTATGAAGGAGGTTTGCTATGTTTCATTAGCTTTTAGCGCCTCCTTACTCCTCTCAGGCATTATCTGCAATGGGCTGAATGGCAGCAAAGAAGAACCAAACTGGATCCGCTTGGATGAGGTTCATATCTTCAGTGACACACTGCTGTTAGAGAAAGCTGGGTTCACTGGCTGACTCCCTTAGGACACTTCAGCATGGGCCAGCAGCTCCTCCAGTGAACACTGATCAATGTCCCAGGGACAGGCTGGAGGCTTCGTTGGTTGGGGTTGTAAGAAATCCAGACTTTGTGATTCAAGCTTGTGATGTGGAGTGCAATAAAGGATGCTCTATTTAGCAGGTTCTCAAAGGTTCATAAGGAAAAGAGAAAGGAAACTAACATTCTGTATGTACAAGCAAAATCAAATAGATGTTTAATATGCTTTATTCTTCTAAGGGTTTTTTATAAAACCCTTGGATGTTCTCTAATAAGCACTCTGGTGTAAGTAAAAAAAGAAATAAATCCGGCTTCAACTTCCCTGCAAACCTCCTGAGCTGCCAAACAGACTGAATGCTGAGGGTGAGTTGTAGCGCTGCAATTACATGCTGCATTTATGCCACCTACAGGCACTCACTCCAGCTTTCCAACAGGTCTGCCTGCCAGGCTTGCTGTGTGCTTTTGCAAACTGCTGTGAGAAGACACCACAACAATGAGCCCTGACCCATGCAAACATCCTGGTATTAAAAATTAACACAAGTCTTTAATTAATCTGATCAGCTGAATTGCCTCCCCACATCATTTAGGTACTGAAATTATGAAGTAATGACAATACTGACATCAGCTTACCAAGTACCCTTTGCAACGGGTGGCAGGTGTTAGAGAAAACCTAGGAATCACATCCAGCAAGTCTGGGGGTGATAAACAGACAAACCTCCCTGCAGCGTGCACTCCTGTGTACAAAATAAGCAATGCAATGAATAATGATGGTGTCATCACTTCAAGGGATTTAGGCAATGAGTTGGAAGCATTTCTTTATCCAAAAAACCCTTATGTATGCTTTTATGAAGGCAAGTGATGCAATAGAAGTTTTCTAACATAGACACCAGCATCTCCTCAGGGACTGTAGTGACAGGATAAGGGGCAATGGGTTTAAACTTAAACAGGAGGAGTTTAGATTGGATATAAGGAAGAAGTTCTTTACTGTGAGGGTGGTGAGGCACTGGAATGGGTTGCTCAAGGAAGCTCCATCCCTGGTAGTGTTCAAGGCCAGGTTGGACAGAGCCTTGGGTGAAATGGTTTAGTGTGAGGTGTTCCCTGCCCATGGCAGGGGTTGCAACTGGATGACCTTAAGGTCCTTTCCAACCAAACCAGTCTGTGATTCTACGGTTCTATTTTCAAAGCTGTGGAAGTGCTCCATGGGGGACCACTGTCCACGTCCCTTCGCTACTGGGGTCACAGTATCACAGTATCACAGTATGTTAGAGATTGGAAGGGACCTCAAAAGATCATCTAGTCCAATCCCCCTGCCGGAGCAGGAACACCTAGATAAGGTTACACAGGAACGTGTCCAGGCGGGTCTTGAATGTCTCCAAAGAAGGAGATTCCACAACCTCCCTGGGCAGCCTGTTCCAGTGTTCCGTCACCCTCACTGAGAAGCTCTGCTGAGAATTGACTCCACTGACTCTGTGCACATCCCCAGGCTGGAGACAATGACAGGTCTGGTCTTGCTGCTACCATCTCAGCCTCCTCAAAGCTTAATTTCCTAAGATTTAAGTCAGAACACACAGAATAATGAAGAGAAGTTCTCTCATCCTTCTTTCCTCACCCTGGGAGACATTTTAGAGTATATATTACTCTAAACCAGCAAACAGTCTGTTGTTCAATATACATACTCACTTCTCTTTAAATATGATGCTATTTAAAGTTATGTTATGTTTAAAGATGTTATTGCCCTTCTGTTATAATTTCTGTGATATCCTTACAGTCAGCAGCTACAGTGCTGGGGGATCCCTATCTGTATTCAGACTTCCCAGTCTGCCTGCAAGCAGCTCTCGGTACAGAATGAGCTTGTGCAAGCTCAGTTGTACCGGGTCTGATGGTGGCTGCCCTGGTTTTTATGGCTGAGATGTGTCACAAACGAGTAGAAAAGGGGCAGCTGTGATGCTGTGAAGATTTGTGCCACTGCTTTGTCAGCTGGGAACAACGGTAAGAGGTTTAAGCAGAGCATCTGGCTAACCCAGAGGTGAGTGTTGCAGGGGGGAGTATGGTAGGATTATTTGATGGAGAGCTGGGCTTGTTCAGCCTGGAGACGAGAAGGCTCCTTAAGGGGAGACCTTAGAGCAGCTCCAGTGCCTAAAGGGGACCTGCAAGACATCTGGAGAGGGACTTTTTACAAGGGCCTGTAGGGACAGTACAAGGGGGAATGGTTTTAAGCCAAAAGATGGTAGATTTAGATTGGGTATTTGGAAGAAGCCTTTCCCTGTGAGGGTGCTGATGCGCTGGCACAGGTGCCCAGAGAAGCTGTGGCTGCCCCATCCCTGGCAGTGTTCAAGGCCAGGCTGGACACAGGGGCTTGGAGCAACCTGCTCTAGTGGAAGGTGTTCCTGCCTGTGGGAGGGGTTGGAACTGGAGGAGCTTTAAGGTCCCTTCCAACTCAAACCAGTCCGGGATAAGGAAAAACTTTTGGAATGATGCAGTGAGGTGGTATTGCAGTGTGTTTGGATTCCCTGTAGAAATGAGAGGCAAACAAGCACCATGGGTGCAGCACCGCTGTCATCTTTACCATGAGCGGCCATGAATACAAGGTGGCCTGCTCCCCATTAAGGCACAGAGAGCTGCTCTGTGCCCATGACAGGGCACAAAATCTGAGGAGCCCAGATGGCCAGGATGAAGTGAATTCTGTGTGGATGATGTTAAATTCCTCCAGGATTGATTAAGTTTCCTTCTGTTTACATGGTTGCCATGTGCTTCATTGCCAGAACCTGAATCATGGGAGATGCTACTGACATAAAACATACACCCCCAGTGCAGGCTCCATTTGCAATTCTCCATCTTAACCCATTTCCTATGCCCAGGTAGCCAATGGCATCCAGCCAGCGCCAGCAGGACTAAGGCAGTGATCATTCCCTGCACTGGGCACTGGTGGGGCCACCGCTGAATCCTGTGTTCAGCTCTGGGCCCCTCACTGCAAAAGAGACATTGAGGTGCTGGAGCGGGGCCAGAGACGGGCAATGGAGCTGGTGCAGGGCCTGGAGCACAGTGTGATGGGGAATGGCTGAGGGACCTGGGGGGTTCAGTCTGGAGAAGAGAAGGCTCAGGGGGGACCTCATCGCTCCCTACAACTGCCTGACAGGAGGATGGAGCCAGGAGGGACTGGGCTCTGCTCCCGAGTTACAACCGATGGGACAAAAGGCGACGGCGACGACTCCGGCCCCGCGCAGCCCTTCATCCCCTGCGCTCGGAGCCGGCCCCGTTGCCATGCATGATGACGCTCCTCCCTTAATTTTTCTCATTGGCTGTTCCGTCCCGATGACGACACTTTTAAGCGCGCCTCTTCGTGATTGGTTGAGGATTGAGCGCGGCGCGGGCTTTGATTGGAGGCGAGGGAGGAGAGAGGTGTGGACTGGTTGGGCGCGCGGTGCACTGTGGGGCGGTGGGCTGTGGGGAGAGGGAGTTGCTCATGGCGGCCATTGGTGTACACCTGGGAGCCACCTGTGCCTGTGCTGCCGTATACAAGGTGAGGGGACCCGGGAGGAGTAGGTGGTCTGCGATCACTTTTGGTTCTTTGGGGCGCTGCTGGCTCATGGGTGGTGCTTCTGTCCGCAGGATGGCCGCGCCGACGTGGTTGCCAACGACGCCGGGGACAGAGTCACTCCTGCGGTGGTTGCGTTCTCGGAGAGCGAGGAGGTGAGGCTTCCCTTGTGTGTGGTGGGTTGGGGAGGGACGGGCGGACGGACGGACGGGAGGGAGCTCGGTGCTGCCCGGTGCTCACTTCTGTTTTCCCTTCTTTTCCATGCAGGTTGTTGGCTTAGCTGCAAAGCAAAGTAGAATAAGAAATATTTCAAACACTGTAGTGAAAGTGAAGCAGATCCTGGGGCGGAGGTAAGGGAACGGGTGTGAAAGGGAAGGTGATAACGGTGGCTTTCCCTGTTAAAGCTGGTCTGTGAAATAGAGTCTCAGCACTGGTGTTGGAGGCATCTTATTCTGGTGTGCGAGTAATAACAGCAGGGTAAGGCATATCTTGAAGGTTCATTATATTATGAACTTCTCATTCTGTATTTCACTATAGGAGTACAGAGATGTAGGATTTTGTGTCCGAATTTGCAAAAATAAAATGGTGAAATTTAGTAATGAGTTGCATATATTCTTTTGATACACACTTAAGTTTCTTAACTAAATCACCTTGTTCTTACTTGAGTGATCTCCTGTGGCTAAAACCCAGTGCAATTTTACTTGCATGAAACTTTGTATTGCTTTTATTACAACTGTGAAACACACTGATGTAATGCCTGTTGTGATTCTTCAGTTAGTGGAGCTGTGACAGTTTGTGCTCACAGGTACGGTGATACTGGAACTGAAGTTGTTGGTTCAGGTCTAACATCAGAAATGTGACAAAATTCGGAGATAATCTGGCTGTGTGTTAGAGCCCATTCACTGAAAGGAGTTGAGAAGATGATGTTCATTCTGATGTATTTCTTAGCACTGGAAAGCTGTGTAACCTCACACAGGTCATAGATGATTAAGGGTGGTCAGTTTATTGCTGTCACGTTGTTTCAGTGAAGGCAACAAAAGTGCCACTGTAATGATTGTTTGGGATAGCAGCTTAGAACAATGTTTTGGAGTTTGTTTTTCCTTTTCACCTTTTTTTCTGTCATTGGTTTGGGGAAAGGAATTTAAAAGATACCAGCGGTCAGAACTGTTAGTTTTTCTTCTCATACATGAATATATTCATACACTGGAAATGGGAATTTTGGTTGAAGTAGATCTTCATCTGCTGTAGATGTTACAAGGAACATCAGCAAGATGAATTACCCTTGAGCATATGATTGATTTTGTTATTTTCAATTTGTTTGGACAGCTCTGGTGATCCACAGGCAGAGAAATACATCGCAGAAAGCAAATGTTCAGTGAGTATGATCTGTTTTTTCCAGATTAATTTATATCATCTAATACTTTTAGTGTTGTTATTCGTGTCGTGCCATGTTTGTGTTCTGCAGTGAGGTCCATTTTCTGCTACATAGAATGTTCCTCCTTATAAAATACAGAACTTAAGCATAGTCTGAGATCTGCCACTATAACCCAGTCCAACAGAAAAAAATATAGCTCTCCCTTTGCCATTCCCAAAAGGGACAATTCATAATATATCTGGGTAGTAGCATCGTGGTGCTTCTTAGCAGGCAAGTACATTTTGTTCTAAATGTTGGCTTTGTACTGAGTAAAACTTAATAGGAAAGGTAAGTTTGGAGTCAGATGCAGTTCATATGAATGTCACTGTCATGTGATGGGTAATGCAATTTATTTCGTGAATAACTGATAACATCTTGGAAGCATTTATCCTGTCATCCTAGAGCTTGAACACATTATTTACACAGTCCAGTGCTTTTCACTTTGAACAGAAACTAAATTAAACATTACTTTTTGTTGGAAAGCAGGTTATGTGTCTAACAAAGGTTTGTTGGTTTTGCTCACAGGTAATTGAGAAGAATGGAAAACTTCAATATGAAATAGATAATAAATTTATTACCCCAGAAGATGTGGCAAAATTAATTTTCAGTAAAATGAAAGGTAAATATAAGTAAAATCATAACATGTTTTAGTTAAAGCTGTCCTCATATTTTTAAGATGTGGTATACTGTTTCTTTTGCTTTTACTCAATATGTTCTGCCTGTGTTTATAAACAGAAACTGCTCAGTCTGCACTGGGCTCAGATGTGAATGACGTTGTTATCACTGTACCATTTGATTTTGGAGAGAATCAGAAGAATGCCCTTGGGTAAGAGGTTTAAGATTTTCCTGTTATTTTAATATGCCTAAAGCAGACCAGCCAGCAGCTCAGCAGTGGGAATTATCCTTCTGGACTCCTGTCAAAACATTGGGATATTATTTGAATTGGGAAAATTTGAAAACAGGAGATTAAATCCTGACTTTAGAAACTTTTCAAGTAATTCACTGTTGTAACCAAAATGAGATCCTGAGTCAACCGAAGTGAAAGGGAATATTGGTATCATCCAGGGTATAATGTCATTTCAGATATGGATCTTCAGTGTCTCCTGGGATATGCAGATTGTTTCTTAGCCACCCTCCATAATTTTCCATCCCTTCATATAACACCAAACCAAGTGGTGTTCCATGGCTATTGAGGACTGTTTTGTTAGAGAGTAGATAACTGAATACACAACTAGTATCCCACTTGGAAGCTCTGTTTGGAAGAAGTTCTGCTGTAAAAGTCCTCCATATGAAAACATAAGTAGACTTTAAACTGAATAATTGGCAGCTTCTGTTTCTGGCTTAACTGTCAGGAGGTACTTAAAATGCGTTTGAATTTGGTCATAAAATGTTGGTGAGCTGGGAGTTTGCAGTATGTATAATGAAACTAATGAAACATCCTGTTGCTTTGGTGTACAAGTTTAAAAATGACTTCAAAATGCAGAAGAAAACTTGCGAGAAAATGGTTTAGAGTGAGGTGTCCCTGCCCATGGCAGGGGGTTGGAACTGGATGATCTTAAGGTCCTTTCCAACCCTAACTATTCTATGATTCTATGTAAAGAAAATGTTACAAGTGAGGTGTGGTGACTTGATTTGGAAGTAAAAACAATTTTCATAGCATGATACCTGTTGAAATAATGTTCCAGGAACTTTTAGAGCCGCATCTAAAGATAAGTTACCAGGTTTGATCGAGGGTGGGTTTTCTCATCCTGTAGTTGAGCAGGGTTGCTATTTATATGGGATATGTAGACTGATACATCAGTGTTTCCTTTGACAATGAGCGTGTAGCAGATCCAACTACCTGAAGAACATAGTAGCAACTGAACATCTTGTTACCTTCTTTTCCAGTCACTTAGCTTTGTTAATACCATGCTGTAAACAAGGTCTGAATCAGTGACATATGCAGTTCAGATGAAATCTTAATAGCATGCATGACTATAGTGAAATCATTAAAATAAAATGAACTGTTCCCTTATCACAGGGAAGCAGCTGTAGCTGCAGGATTTAACGTTATGAGATTAATTCATGAACCATCTGCAGCTCTTCTGGCTTACGGAATTGGCCAAGATTCACCCACTGGGAAAAGGTAAAATCCTGGTATTTTACTTCTTAGATTTAAGCTGCTGTACTTAAGTCCTGAGAAATCTCAAATGAAGGAATGCAGTGCTGTCTTAGGAGTCAACACACAATTAATGATAGGAGGCTTGGTTTTCTCTTCTCTCAGTAAAGCCAATAACAATTTAGAAGCTGTAAATCCAGAGTGGTTTAAATACCTTTGTTTTGGTTTTTATTTTGTCTTTAAAGATTTGTCCCCAGATTCTGTCTTGCTCCTTAATGAGCTGATTGGCTTGAAGAAAAATCCGTCCCTTCTTAAACAGATTTGGGCATAGCTGGTTTTTAAGTGAGGGAGATGGGGTCATTTACATACACTACCAGAAATGAAGTGTTGTTCCTGGGTTCAGAGGTTCATTGGGTTTCCCTTATGAATATTTAGATAATCCACACAATTTTCAAATACTGAAGACTGCTGTCAGTTCAAACAGATGGGTTTTGTCTTGGTATTTTTTGCCCTTCTCATACAATTCTTGCCTATACCCTTGAATGTAATGTTCAATTCTCAATTGCATTACAGGAAAAATGCTGGCTGCTCTCACTGTTCTTCAGGGACCATTGTCAAGTAGTCTGTAGTACTAAGATGCATTAAATACAAACACCCCAAGGCAAAGTCACTTGACAAAACTGGTTAAAACCTGCAATACATGATATGTCAGTAATGTTTTTAGACAGTGTATCAAAGTTAATAGAATTTTTGATGGCTTATTAATGCTAATTTCATTTTTTTTAATGGCAGCAATGTGTTGGTTTATAAACTTGGTGGAACATCACTTTCTATCACAGTCATAGAAGTGAACAGTGGGATATATCGTGTGCTTGCTACGAACACAGATGATACTATTGGTGGTGTTTGCTTCACAGAAGCTCTAGCACAACACTTAGCTTCTGAATTTCAGAGGTAGGTACTGAGTACCAAGCATGTTGCTGTTAGTACAGGAACTTCATTGTCTCATGCTAGCTTTAAAAAAGATGGTGTCAGATGTAGCAGATTGTCTGCGAGTGAAGTGGCTCAAAGATATTAGAGGAACAGTCAATTGTTGGGGGCCAAGGAGGAAGAACAGGAAATACTTGGGCTTGGGTTGGTGTTGCTTGAAGTTGGTGTTGAACTATAAGGGCTCAGCTAGGAACCACTCTGTTTCAAGTGATGTATGTGACTACAGGCTGCTTATGTCCTTTCAGTCACAAGCTTTTGGGATGGCAGGCAGTTCACCTGGGTGGGTTTTGTTTGGTTTTCTTGTTGGCCTGAGGGACTGTGAAGGGGCTTGGGTTCTCAGACTGAAGTCTGTGTGTCACATCATCCTGTGATGAACAAATATGAAGAGATGCATTACCATTAACTCCAGTGAACTTCAGGTGGTCAGTTGCGTAATTCCACAGAAAGAGACTGTTTGCATGAGACATACTACTTTGTGAGGTGCCTCATTTTGTTTTATTTCTTCTTATCTGTGTTTAAAATGGGTTAACTTGTAGCCCTTTTCTAGCTTTTGTTTGCTATTATGGGATTTGCTCTGCTGAGAATCTGTTCAGAAAGACTCAAATCTGTATGAGCAACACTAATGGCCAAGGTCAGGGTGTTTCTGCACAGTGTTCTTTGGTTGAAATTGAAAGGCACTATTTTTTGTGAGCTTTAAATACTGGCGTTGTAAATAATACTAGCATGTGTACAGAAAAAGAAGTTCAATAGCTTTAACCTGGTTTTCCTTTCAGAAAGTTCGCCTGATCACAGAAATTCCTGCATTTGTAAACTAATACCTCTTCTTTTTTTGTAATCTAGGTCTTGTAAACATGATATTAGAGGAAATCCCAGAGCCATGATGAAGTTAATGAACAGTGCTGATATTGCAAAACACTCTTTGTCAACCCTGGGAAGTGCAAACTGTTTTGTGGATTCATTGTATGATGGATTGGATTTTGATTGTAACGTGTCCAGGTAAAGTGAATTTTGAAGCTATTGCCTTAATATAAAATGAATGTTGTGGTTTAACCAGGACAACTATGCTTTAAATCCTTCTAGGTGGTATCTAGTATGTTCAACAGGATTTTGTTTTGGTGACATTTATTTTAGAAATGAGATAGAAGATCAACTTGCTTTCTTTCAGCTTTGTTTCATGTTGATGGTTCTGTAGTAGTTAGGATAGTAACACTAACAATATTGCCGTAACGGTTAGAAAGAAAATTACAAAACGGCAGAAGGAGGCCTTTAGGATCTGGTTGTTGATGAAAGGGGAAGTAGATACTGTCATTACTCAAGGTAGTTCCACCCCCTGACTGGTTTTGTTATCATAGAATGGTTTGGGTTGGAAAGGACCTTAAGATCATCTGTTTCCAACCCCCTGCCATGGGCAGGGATGCCTCCCGCTAGAACCTGTGTCACACAAGGCTCTGTCCAGCCTTACCTTGAACACTGTTGCTGTTGGGTTTTCCTCAAGTAGGGAAGACTTTTGGACTCCTTAATCTAAGTGAGCTCCAGAGTGACAGGAGTCACAGATGTTTTGATGTTGCCTCTTTTTGACAGCGAGTAAAATATGTTCTATGTCTTTCTGCTCATACTGCTGTGTCCTCCTCTGAGCCTCTTCTCTCTTGAGATGATCTCTCACTGAGTGAGATGTTCAGCTAATTTTGACTGCGCTTCCAGTCAGCAGCAGCTTTGGCAAAATAAACCACTGTTCAGTTCCAGAAGCATGCATGCACTGCTGCAGCAGTTGGAGCTGGTAAAATAAGGCATAGTGTATTTGCAAGTGTGAGAAGCAGTACTGTGTAACTTATTTTGGCGCAGTGTTGGGTGAGGATGCCAGTCCTGTGGATTGGAATTTGACTGCTATATTCACACAGGGTAAAACCTCCCTGTCAGGCTTGAAAGAGCCTGAAACAAGCACAGATTTGCTTTTCGAGTTGCTTGAGTGCAAATCAGGACATTGCTTGATTTGCCTTTGGAAATTCAAAAGGCACATTTGCATCTTTGTGTCTCCATTTTAAAGGGAACAGAAGTAGTTCCAGGATTGTTGCTTTTTTTCAGATGTGGATCAAGACAGCAATACTGGGTTTTGTCAATCCAACAGTATTGGATTTTCTTTACAGTACACTGAAGAAGGATGAATGTTCCAGTAGGTGTTAATAGTGGAATCAATAGCACAGAGATTTTCACAACAAAAATCACTTTGTCAAGGTTAATAATTGGGAAATGGGGATTAAAAAAAAACCCAAACCAAACAACCAAAGAAACCCCAACTCTTTAGTACCAGGTATAACTAGAAAACCAAAGTATATTCTGTGTATTAATCATAGAATGGTTTGTGTTGGAAGGGACCTGAAAAATCATCTACTTACAGCCCCCTGCCACAGGCAGGGACACCTTCCACTAGAGCAGGTTACTCCAAGCCCCATCTAACCTGGTCTTGAACACTGCCAGGGATGGAGCATTTACCACTTCTTTGGCCAACCTGTTCAGTGCCTCACCACTCTCAGTAAAGAACTTCTTCCTTATATCTAATCTGAGCTTCCCCTGTTTCAATTTAAACCCATCACCTCTTTTCCTGTTGCTAAAGTCCCTGATGAAGATATATTCTGTCATTTCAGGTATTTGTCTCTAATGGATGAGATGACACTGACTGATCGATTTTATTTTTCTTCATTGTAGGGCCAGGTTTGAACTTATCTGTTCTCCACTTTTTAGTAAATGTGTAGAAGCAATTAAAAAGCTCTTGCAGCAAGTTGGATTTACAGCAGATGATATTAATAAGGTAATAATAGAAATCACTTGGCTGTAGTATGCTTTATAACTCCACAAGAATATTTATGGGGGCCTGTTTTCTTTGCAGGCAGAGATTATTTCATTACATGCTTAAGCATTTTTGCTTAGATCCAACAAAGTATATAGACTCAAATCTTTAGAACTCCTCTCTTTGCTTTGATTATAGGTACCTGAAGTTAAGGCAGAGTCAGAGTCACAGAATCAGAGAATGGTTTGGGTTGGAAGGGGCCTTAAAGCTCATCCAGTTCTCAACCCCTGTCACAGGCAGGGACACCTTCCACTAGAGCAGGTTGCTCCAAGCTCCATCCAACCTGGCCCTGAACATGGCCAGGGATAGGGCAGCCACAGGTTCTCTGGGCACCCTGTGCCAGTGCCTCAGCACCCTCACAGGGATGAATTTATTCCAAATATACAATCTAAATCTACCATCTTTCACTTTCTAGCCTCTCTCCAGATTTCTTGCAGCCCCTTTAGGCACTGGAGCTGCTCTAAGTTCTCCACATAAGGAGTCTTCTCTTCTTCAGGCTGAACCAGCCCAGCTCTCTCAGCCTGGCTCCAGAGCAGAGCTGCTGCAGATATTGCAGCATCTCCATAGCCTCCTCTGGACTCAATCCAACAGCTCCACATCCTTATGTTAGTGGCCCTGGAGCTGGATGCCTGTAGGAGGAGGCTTGGTGGAGACTGTTGCTGCTTACAGCTACCAAATAGGAAAATGTACACAAGACACAATCTGACTTACATGACAGATGGGTGAGTGGCAAGCAGCACAAGTGACAACACGGAGAAATTTTAGATACCAAGAAGAGGATTTGTAGTGTAAGGGTAATCAGGCACTGAAATAAAGGCCTTCAGAGTCTCTGGAATCTGTATCCATGGAGGTATGGTCCTGAGCAGGCTCTAGTAACTGCTCTTGGTCTGGACAGAAGGTTGGACTAGATGACTTCTAGAGGTCCATCCCAGCTTGATGTTATTTTGTGTTTAACTCCTCAAGTTTTAAAAATGGAGCTTCAATAAGCTGATGCTTACTGTAAGCAACACTTTTTTCAAGACACCATTCAAACTTGCAAGCTCTTTCTTTGCATTTCAAATATAGAAGTAACAGAAGTCAGGCAAAGATGGCATCAGTTTTATTTCTAACACTTGCAGATGGTAAAATACCCCAGAGCTGTCTGCATTTCTGTGTTGCAAGTTATGATCTGTCTCTTATCTGTCAGAAGAAGGACTTGAAATGATTCAGGCATGTTTTCCAGGTAGTCCTGTGTGGTGGGTCTGCTCGAATCCCAAAGCTACAGCAGCTGATCAAAGACATTTTTCCAACTGTGGAATTACTGAATTCAATTCCTCCAGATGAAGTTATTCCCATTGGTGCAGCCATAGAGGCAGGAATCCTGCTAGGGAAAGAGAATCCTTTGTTAGAAGAAGAAGCACTTATTGAGTGTTCTGCCAGAGATATTCTTCTTAAGGTAAGGCTAAAATGATTTATCATAGAAAGCTTTACTGCTCCATTGAATATAGAGCGCTACTTATGCATGACTGATGTTAGAAGAACAGTATTGTTTTGTTATTAATAATTCTACAGATTTGCTGTAGATCAGCAGTGAGTCATAACTTCTGTTTATTGACCAAAAATTGACAGGAAAAGCTGCCTGATTTTAAGGGGAGATAGATTTGAGTCTTTGCTGTGTTGTAATAGCTGGGCTCTTACATTTAGCTATGTCTGCTGCATTTCTTTATGTCAATTTTCTTTACTTGCTGTGATGATAAATGTGGCAGAGAGAAGGAACCTGGCATTTCTTCTCTCATGGAGCACCGTTGTAACACCTCCCGCTCAGTCAAGTACTTAGACAAATGCATGAATTATTTTTGTTTCCTTTTTAAAGGGAGTGGATGAGTCAGGGGCTGACAAATTCACAGTGCTGTTTCCGTCAGGGACACCACTACCAGCCCGAAGGCAGCACACCCTGCATGCTCCTGGAAACAGTTCCTCCGTGTGCCTTGAACTGTACGAGTCACTGGGGAAAAGCCCCCTAAGTGAAGAAGGTAAATTTGCACAGGTGAGTATATGCACGTTCACGTGCAACTTTAGTATCAACCACTTTGAAATCAAGTAGATCTGAAAAGAACCTGAACCTTACCACATCCCTACCGAAGCTTCTGGTTACAAAATTAGAATGAGACATGTCTCATTGGAAATGGTCTTTAAACATTCTTATGTAAAGGTGTTATGAAATATTGAAGTTCTTTCCAACAACATTGAAGCTTCCCTTTTGCATTTCTGAATGTCTAACTGTGTTTGGTATTTAGCACCACTCTAATGAGCTCACCTGGGGTGACAGATTGTAACCAGTCATTCCAGTAGCACACTAGAAATTCAGTAGCATTCTAGAAATACAGCTGCTGGAGGTGATGATTTAGCGGGTGTCTGTACTGCTAGTCACATCTTCATCTTTCCAAGCCAGTCTTGATCCTTCCAGTCTTCCTAGATTGGACAAGATCTTGGTATTGAAGATCACGTTTGATTTTTTTCACAGTGGTAAGATGATTAAATCCTCCCCCAGTATAAGGATAATTACTCATGAGACAACCCGCTGGGAGAATATGGTTTGTCTGAAATGGTGACAGTGGGATCACCTTGGCTTCAGGACCCTTAAAGTACTGAGGAGGGTGCAGAAGGGGCTGAAATGGATGGAATACTTGAGAAAATTGTTATTCCACCTCAGTCCTGGCCAAAGATCTTCAAGGGGGTAGGGAAAGGATGTTCCCTAATAACTACAGAATTGATCCTAAGTAAAGATCATGCTCAGCTTGTGATGTAGTCTGTGGGAGTTGCACGTTGTATTTCCAGTTGTATTCCTGTTACCCTGGTGATATATCCTGAAACAAATCCACTGAAACAGTAGTGGAAGTAGCTAAAAATAGAGATTTGCACTACAGATGAACACAGTCCAGCAGGACATGCTTTGATGTTGAATTACTTGTATGAGCTGCTAAATAGAAGTTGATTACCTTGGCTATTGTGTGATTTCCATTAAATTGCTGTGCAAGGATTGAGTTAAAGTCTGATGAAGTTCTTTTCTGGTTTGTTTTTAAATAGATTGTACTCCAGGATTTGGATAAAAAGGAGGATGGCCTACATGATATACTGACTGTCCTCACTATGAAAAGGTACCCCAAACATTTGTTGCTCTGCTGCTTAACTTGCTGTTTCACACTTGTGACAAGCAGTCTTTTCTCCTGTTACAGAGTGCTTAATTTTGTGTTGAGATTTCAGGATCTCATTGCTTACAGTGTCCTGTGTCTTAGCAGGGGTAAATTTTGCATGTACCTTCTGCACATTCATTGGTGGATTCTGAAGAAATAAAACTTAATGCAATTTTAAGGCAGATCTTAGCAGCTTTTGAGGTGTGGATCAGTTTAACCGTGCTTGAGAGCAGTCATGATTTCAAATTCCCTGTGGAAGTGGGACAGGTAGTACTGAATGACCACACGCTGAGATAAAACTGAAGTAGAATCTGCGTTAGTTGTTAATGGATCCACAAAGGACCTCTCATGCAGCACTCGTGTGATGAGAACCTGTGGCTCTGTCCTTTCATGGGCAGGGTTGTTAAGCATGAGAAACAATGCTACAGGAAATCGGGCATCATAAATCTTACTTTTTACAGAATTAGCTGTATATTACAGGGAAAATACAAAGTATTTCATGGCAGGGTGGGGAATGGGGATAACATTAAAGTTCAGAAAAGTTTCTTCAGGCCATAAAGGGAATGCTTCTACTCATTTGGAATAGCATAAATAGTTTATAAGGATAGCAGAAAGTGGAATTTGGAGTACTTAGAGCATGTTTCCCTTCTGAGGACTGCCCTGAAGTTCATATTGCTTTTCTAAATCACATGAAAGTTGTCTGGATGTTGCTGAAAAACTAAATCCATACTTTCTATTTGAGTGCATAACACTTAATTGAGTTCATAACACTTAACTGATGGACTTCACCTAAAGTACCTTGCTAGTCATGCAGAGATTTGCACTTAGCGTTGGTAAGAACATCTTACGGATTGTATGTGCAACTGTGTAGTGCAGGAAACCTGCATTATTTTAAATGGGGGGGGGTGTTAGTATTTGTTGGTACTTAGTTTTTTAGTAGTATTTAGTGTTTAATAATGAGGTTTTAGTAATATTTAAATGAAAAAGATAGGAAAAGTTCACTAGAACACATCTATTTCTATCTAAGTATGATGTGTGATGTCTAGATGAAGTAGGGTTCAGTGTTGTCTCTAGTTATTGGATTTTTGAAAACGAATGTTTTCCCTGTGAAGTTGATCCTTGGTATGTAAAGACTACTTCTGCATTTTAAAAGTCAAGTTCTGATGCTTTGTGAAGATGTGCTTACGTGTTAGTTGTTGCTACAGTCCTCAAGATTAGTATTTTGAATGATAATATTGCATATTCTATTTACAAACCTGTGCTAAATAAACTTAGTTACAATATTTAAGCGTGTTTCCAGGTCTGTCTTCTGTGCCGATGTTGGAACGTGCTCTAATGGAGGGCAAGTACTGCACATCTAAGTACTCAATAAACTCAATTCAATTTATTGAAGCATGTTCTTCACTGGATATTCTGAAAAATAATTGTTCTTCCTTTTGCCTGTATGGAAACTGTTGTTTATCCTCTCTGGAGCACGCAGTAACATACTATGTGTTGTGTTGGGGTAGACCTAAACATACCTTTTTCTTTTATCTAGGGATGGCTCCTTACATGTTACCTGCACGGATCAAGATACTGGAAAGTGTGAAATCATCACTGTTGAAGTGGCATCATAGTCTTTTTGGGGAAAGAAGTTGATTTTTGTCTTTTGTTGGCTGTTCTGCCAAAGCACTGACCCCGAGATGTCATTCATGGATCTTACAGGACTGTAATAAACTGTCATAGTAATTTGCCACAGTGTCTGTTTGGAGTGGAAATTGTGGTGCAAACCATTAACCAAGACATGCAGACAGCACCCGGTTTCAAAAAGGCAGAGGGCAAATCCTTGTGCTTCTTACTAAACCACAGGCAAGTTACACAGTCTAAAGATTTTTTTTTATTGGACTAATTGGGTCATGTACCCATTGAACCAGAATATCTGTGACTTTAACAGCACAGCATTGAACTGCTGAGAGCTGGGCTGGTGAGAATCCACTCTAGCTGTACCAAATGCTACTGAGATCCTGTGTGGTCTTGATGCTGGCCTCTTGAGCGGGATGTGGGGTTTTTGTTTTGTTTGTATTTCTGGAGTTACTGTAAGATGCTTTCGTGGTGTGACATGGACAATGTGTGTAAGGGTTATATGTGCTTATTTATGTTATTAATAAAATACATTTTCTTATGCAGCTCCTGGCATCCTCCATCTGTATGGTGCTGTTCTAATCCATATGTTGCATATATTGGTTTGGATGTAAGTTGGCAGGTTTTTTTTTAATTTTAGGTAGGAGGGTAATAAGGAGATGGAGCAGGCAAGTGAAGTTATGGGAATCGAGGGTCTCAGCCTAATGTGCAGTTAATGGGAAATAGCTCAGCCCTGAAAGCGGGATATTAGAAAGGCAGAGGTCTGCACAAGAGAGTCCACAGGAAGCCATAAAGATGCTGCAAGGGCTGAAGAAGCTCTGCTCTGGAGCCAGGCTGAGAGAGCTGGGCTGGTTCAGCCTGGAGAAGAGAAGGCTCCTTAAGGGAAGACCTTAGAGCACCTCCACTATCTAAAGTGGATATATCTAAAGCTCCACAATCTCCTGTAGGGAGATTGGATATTAGGAAGAAATGCTTCCCTGTGAGGGTGCTGAGGCGCTGGCACAGGGTGCCCAGAGCTGTGACTGCCCCATCCCTGGCAGTGTTCAAATCCAGGTTGGACACAGGGGCTTGGAGCAACCTGCTCTAGTGGAAGGTGTCCCTGCCCATGGCAGGGGGTTGGTGCTTTAGGATCTCTTCCAACCCAACCCAGTCCATGATTCTATGTTATGTTGTATAAAACTCAAGAGACATAACAGAGCAAAGGATGCCTGCCTGGAGCTGAAGAGACCAGTGTTCAATTACCTGTTTCTCGACAGCCTTCCTAAACTGTCGTATATTTGCAGAACGTGTATTTCAATATTCTTCAACAGATGCTGCATAGGATAGATCTGATCTTACTGCAGATGCCTATATTGCATGTCTTACTAGCCTGGGCATGGCGATGGAACTTGTGAGGCTTCCCAAAGCACAGAAGTGCTGGGAAGGTCCTCTCTCCTTTACCCTACGGCCTTTGATGCCTGCCAAGTAAGTGAGCATCTCACCCCTTCCTGTGTGAAAACAAGGGGCTCCTATAAACCCATCGGAGCCGCTCCCGCCCTTCCCCGCCCGCGAGCCCTGAGACACCGTTGCCGCCAACGGCTTCTGCGTGCCCGGGGGGGCGGAGCCGCGCAGGCGCACAGACGCGCTCTGCCCTCTTCCGGAGCGGAGCGGGGCGGGGCGGCGGGGGAGTCCTTCCCTCCCCCACCCCAGGATGGAGGGCTGGTGCGGAGGTGAGGGAGCAGCGGTGTACGCGGTGGGCGCCCCGGCCCGACTCCCTCCAGCTTTCCTTCCCTCGGTGCCGGGCGGGGAGGTCTCTCCTTCTCTGTCGGTTGGTGGGGGCCTGCTGCAGGTTCCCCTCCCCTTTCACCCAGCTCGCGACCATTGCCGCTTCCCTCCCTTTCCCCGTCCCGCTCTTAGCCACCCGGCCGCGCCTTCGGGGGGCTCTACCCTGAGGGAAGGCGGGGGGCGCCTGAGGTAAATATGGAGGGCGGGAGGACGGGAGAGGCGTTAGGGCCGCGGGAGAGACGTTAGGGCCGCGCGAGAGGCGCCCGGCGCCCCGTGCACCCGGAGGTGAGCGGCGGGGGAGGCGGGGCGCTGAGGCGGGCAAGCCCCGGGGTGGAAGTCACGGCGGCGCTGCCGCACCGCAACTCCCGGGTCCCGTTCCGCTCTTCCCTCCCCCTTCCCTCCATTCCCTCCCAGCGCTGTTCTCCGGGCTCTGGTCAGGAGCTGGCACGGTCGCCGTCGCGTCCCTTTAAACCCGCCGAGCTGACCAAGCAGCCGGATCCTTCTGGAAGAGCGCTGTGGATCCCTTCTTTTCCTCGTCCGGTCACCATGGTTGCATCGCAAGTGCTTGATTCCACTTCAGTAACTGCAGATATTTGTCGGGTTTACTGAAGAATGTGGCCGTAGTTCAGTTACGGGGTACTGTAATGGCAGGGAAATGACTTGGTTTCTTAGTGCAGCTTTCACCCATGGAAGTTTGTGCCCTCCAGAATGTTTGTTGTTCTTTGTAAGTACTGAACAGAATGAAGGTGCAGGGAGGGAGCCGCTGACATGTTTTTCTTCACCCGTTAGAGAAGGGTTGAGTTTGACGCTGGAGTTGTACAAGAGATACGCGCTATCGCCAGTGACAATGTGGGGGCTCTGGGGTAAGGTGTAATGATTTCGATTCAGCCGAGACATTAAATAGGATTCTCTACCAATTTTCTTATTGTAGCTTGGTATGTGCCATGTCTAGCTTCACTTGAGACCCTCCAAGAATTTTGTAGGAAGGAAAATCTCACATGTAAATCCATTGGAATCACCAACAGGAGTCTAAAGACTTATGAGGTGGAATATTTGTGTGACTACAAGGTAGAAGAGGTAAGAGAAACACAGACTGATTTGATTACTCTTTCAGCTGGAATTCAGAAGCAAGCCGAAGGTAGCTTTGCTCTTAACATAAAGCTGCAGGCTTGTGAGGGCAAGGCTTTTGCTGACGTTGAATGAAGTATCTATAAAACTTTGAACTGTAAGCAGAAAGTGGTACAACTGCTGCTTTGGGCATGTTGAGGGAAAGGACTTTTGTGTTTTCTGAACCTAGAGAGATGTTAAAGAGTATGAAATGCTTCACCTTTGCATATCTAGAAGTTAAGCAAGATGCTGATGGCTTTAGGTTGTGGCTTGGTATGTGTCACGATGCTTCTTTATTTGCAGGTAACAGTCTATATTCCTCCCTTGCCTGTTGTAGTGTGTTTGATGAGGAGTTAGGGCCATGTGCTGCAACTGGATTCCTATGGCTTCATTGTGCCACTGAAATTCAGTCTCAGGATTTGGCCTTGTAACAGTTACTTAGCCTGTTTTAAAACAAGTATTAAATGTATTATATACACAATATTACGTGTTTTGAACGGAATACTCTTTTGGGAGGACAGTTAATATGGCAAGGAGTAATTTTAGAGATTTTTTTTCTCAGTTTAGAATTATTTCTGTGTATGATACCACTGTGTTCTACTTGTGCATACAAGTTACCCAACTAAGTTGGCATAACTTAACTGCCTTAACAAATGAGGTATGCTGTTTGCAGTCAGAGTTCATCTCAGCTGTTTATTTCTTTGCCCTTAGAGATGATATGTAAAGTGTCCAAACTTGTGCTGTATGTTAATGTGCAAACAGAAAAGTTGATTTTCTTTTCTTTTTCTCCCCAAATCTAATTGCTATGGGGAATCAAGGCCTTCTGCACTGCATGCCGCTGCTTAACTCCAGAGGTCTTGTGTTTGTGTACTCTGTGATGCTGGATTGCAGCAAAATGAAACGTGGTTAAACGTGTATCTGTTTTTATATTTCAAGGGCACAGAATACTATCTTGTGAAATGGAAAGGATGGCCAGAATCTTCAAATACATGGGAACCTCAGAAAAATCTGAAATGCCCATTGCTTTTACAGAACTTTCTTAGTGACAAGAATGAATACTTGTCTCGGGTGAGAGAAGGCAAAGCACTGAAAGTGAGAAACCACGTTAAAGCTTTGAATCCTGCAGTTGCAGATTACATTGTAAAGAAGGCTAGGCAAAGAATAGCACTTGAGAGATGGAAAGAAGAACTCAACAGGAAAAAGAATCATAAAGCAATGATCCTGGTAGAAAACACTGTGGATCTCGAAGGCCCTCCTTTAGACTTCTACTACATTAATGAGTATAAACCTGCTCCGGGAATAAATGTGATAAATGGAATAACAACTGGCTGTGAATGCACTGACTGCCCCGCTGAGAAGTGCTGTCCAAAGGAGGCTGGATTTATTTTGGCTTACAATAAACGAAAGAAGTTGAAAATCCAGCCTGGCTTGCCCATCTATGAATGCAATTCCTTTTGTAGGTGTGGGCCTGACTGCCCTAATAGGATAGTACAGAAAGGTACACCCTATTCTCTTTGCATCTTCAGAACTAACAATGGCCGTGGCTGGGGAGTAAAAACCCTCCAGAAAATTAAAACCAACAGTTTTGTGATGGAGTATGTTGGAGAGGTATGTATTTATCTCATCTAGATGAGTTATTTACAGTAAAGGGAATGTTGGGAGAAAATCTTGATGAGCTTTCTTTCAGTTTTAACACTTCTTGACTTCTACTATATGATAGGTAAGTCTACTTTTAAGTAGAGAAATAGAGTTAAGTAGGCATTCAAGATGACTGTCCAGAGTGTTCCTCCATTCCAGAGCAGCTGTAAAAGGTTCAGTGTAAAGAGAGTACTTACCCCATATATGACTACAGAATTATTTTAGGCACATATTCTAATAGTATTTCTAAAAACAAGTCCTTTTCTTTCACAGTAGTCATAGTCTTTATCCTTCCCTGATCATCCTTATTACTGTAGTTTTTGCTGTCCTCAGGCACCATCATTGCCATACTCCCCACCCAGTGTGTCAGTCCCTTCCTGTTTTGTCTGAACTTTTAAGGTAGTATATCCAAACATACTGATTGCTTTTGATGAGCAACAAGAATAAGACTTGTAGTGTGGACGTTACTTGTTTACTCAATCTCCTCCTAGTTCAAACAGAACTGTAATGTTATAAAAGACTGATCTCAGGTTACTCTTGAGATTCTGTACTGCCTTATGTTTATCTGGTCCAACCTCTGCTCAGCTTCAGGGCTCCTTGCAGCCTCTCTGATCCAGTCTTGTGGGGTTTCTGCCACAGATTTGCCTCACTACCAGGTTGACTTGGGAATTCATTCTGTCCCTTCATGGTCTTAAACTGGCCTTCCTCCTCCCCCAGATCTCACTTCTCATGTTCATACCTTGCAGACATGCAAGAGGTCAGAGTATCTCTGAGGGCTTAGTGCAGAAAGTTGATGGTGTCATTTTGTTGCCTAAAGGAAAGTGTGTATTTACACTTTCACCTAAATTTACTTACTCCCTACTTCTAAATTCTCAAATCTGATCTGTCAGAAAGATTTTTGGGAGGGATTTTTGTCCAATTCCACCACATTTTGTATGTGTCTTGCTGCCAAATTGCAGTTTCTTTGCTGAACAGCAGTGCATGTCGCTTCATGACACAATGAACGTAACAGGTTGTAGATGAAGTTTTTTAAGTTGTTGCTTCTCTCAGGATGACTGTAGTTCTCTGGGGATTTTGTGGATTTCCACCTTGTGCTAGTCTGATAGCATAGCTTCAGCTTTGTGTGTCAGAATTGTCATGAACAGGATCTTTCATTGCAGCCAAAAATAGCAGAAAGAGATGCTTCTAGGGAGGGAAGAGATGAAAACTGGGCTGTAAATGTGACTGGGTTAAAGACTGATACGTGTTGGTCTTTGTTCAAAGGGAGAAAGTTAAAGCTTTATTTTACATGAAGCAAACAAGGCTTTCTGGGTCTAATGGCAGAATTATACTTACAGAAACTTCAAGCAAAGAAAAAATAGATTACATCTGTCATCATCAAAACTCTGAATAGAAGGTGCTGATATCTTTTTCTCCCTAGACAAGGTAGTGCTCTCTATCAGCTGGAGATAAATCACATCCAGAGGAGCCTCAGTCACGGATTAGTTTAGCTGCATGTGTGTATTCTTCATAGAATAGTTTGGGGTGGAAGGGATCAACCCCCCTGCAATGAGGGGTATCCTCACTGAGATCAGGTTGGAGATCGAATACTGTTTCAGCATCAAAAAGTGACTGTGGGATTCTTTTACCAAGTAAAACTTTCCTAACTTGACTGTGACACTTGTTTTAATTTAGTAATATGATACAGGTTTTGGTTTTTCTCTTTTTTTCTTTTTAAGGTGATTACAAGTGAGGAAGCGGAGAGACGAGGCCAGCTGTATGACAACCAGGGAAATACATACTTGTTTGATTTGGACTATGACTCGGACGAATTTACAGTAGATGCAGCTCGCTATGGAAATGTGTCCCACTTTGTGAATCACAGTGTAAGACCTTGTTTTGTATATTAAGAATCTGGCAAATTACCCTAATTGTGCCAGAAATATCTTCTCCTGCTGTAAGCATGTTCTTACCATAGGCAGGGTGTTTCTGAAGTAGTTTGTTTTGTACCAGAACAGTCTGGTCAGGTAGGTGACATGATAAGTAAAAAGGAATATTTAGCCTTAGGGGGCAGTAAGACTACCTGCAAAAGTCTGGGAATGAGATGCTGCCTGGAGAGGGCACCTGGTAGGACAGGGGTTGTCACTGAAGACAACCAAAATGTGGTTGGTCTGTCTGTGTTTTCTTCCAAGTAACTAAAAGAACTTAATAAAAGTACTTAGTAGAGGAATCGAAGATGCTAGGAATTGATGCATTATTCTGTAGCAGGGAGGAGAAAGGGGTTATGCTGAATTCATCCTTCACACATTGGTAGAGGAGAAAAAAGAAAATTCATATGCTTTCATAATCAGGCATTAGAACAGGCTTCACAGGGAAGGGGTGGAATAACCGTCCCTGGAAGTGTTCAGAAACCCATGTAGGTGAGGCCCTTATTAACATGGTTTAGTGGTGTACTTAGCAGTGTGGAGGTAATGGTTGGACTTGATGATCTTAAAGGTCCTTTCCAACTTAGTGATTCTATGATTCATTGATATGTCTCCTCTGTAGGTACCTTTTTTCCACCTAAATCTAAACTTCCCAGAGAACTCTAAAGTAAATTTTAAACAGGGCATTTGTGTAGTGTTTTATTTTGTGTTTAACTGAAGCACCTAAAGGAAGAAGGCTCAGCTGCATTTGTAAAGATGCCTGAACTAAAAAATGTATTATTTCTCACCACTGTAATGTTTGTGAGCTATGCAGTCAGTGTTCTACAAATACAGTAAATTCACATCTTCATAACTGTGAACTAACGGTATTTGTATTTCATGCAGGGAATTGCCAGGGAGAAGGGTGAAGAAGAGTTTTAGGTACAAACAGTTGCTTTTGAGTTTTGGAAATGGGAGTGGTATGTTCTCGGTCTAATTGTAAAATGTCATACTTCTGATTCCTTAATGTGAGATATATTTTACTGTTAAGGAAGCATGCAGGGTTTAACAAACTGTCTCAGTGACTACTGATTTCTGACACTTACTCCAGAGAAAATGATGAAGTGGTTTCTAGTTCCTGCTTAGTGTCCTTTATCCTCCTCCTGAAGCAATGTTTAAAGCTAAATACAGATAGGGAGTGTGTGGTGCTTGAAACAAGAGGTTTTTTTCTTTTCTGCCAACTTTAATCCTTTTTATGGGTTTTGTAGGTAAATACTGATCTCTAAATGGAGCTTTAATTTTTATCAAATTTTTTTTTTAGTTTTTGTCATCTTTTGAAGGTATCTTCATTTGGGTTTTTTTTTAGCAAGCTGTTGCATGTAGTCTACATGCTGTGTAAGGGCCTTCTTGAAAGGATTTGCCTCTCAGCTGTGAGTGTTCTCCTTAAATGCTATTTCAATAATGTGATTTGTTGATTTCAGAACATAACTTACTTCAGACTTCGTTGCTGAGAGCAGAACAAGTCCTTACTTTCCCGTGACCATGGTTTACTCAAGCACTTGATTGAAACCCAGTCTGTGTTTTTCCTAACAGAAACCACATTAATTTTTGCCTTACAGTGTGACCCAAACCTTCAGGTCTTCAACGTGTTCATTGATAACCTCGACTTGCGTCTCCCTCGAATAGCACTGTTTTCTACACGAACTATCAAGGCTGGAGAAGAGTTAACGTTTGACTACCAGATGAAAGGTCTGCAGGCTTTAATGCTGTTCTTGCAGGAGGTTTGGGGCAGTGGTGGCCTTTGTTGCAGCTTGACTGATGATAGTATTTTAGTGCATCTCCCTAAGATTGTAGAGCAGCCATCATATGTCATTGTATGCAGATTGTCTGCATACAGTCTGACATGCAGACAAAATTGTACCCAGGAGCTTTAGCTTTTGGCTCCTTCAGCACTGCTAGCTCACAGCAAGGGGCTGTGGTCAGGATGTCTGCCAAGGCAAATTATAGGAAGGCTCAAAGCAATGGTTAGGCTACCATTAAAAAAACCTTTCCTTTATTTACATTGATATTTCACTTAAACTATTAAGTAATCTGCTAGTTACAGAGACAGTAGGAACAGCTGAGTTGTCTAAGGCACCATGGGTTTCTCTCTGGATTCTGGTGTCTGTAGGCCTGGGCTGGGGATGTAGGTCCTATGACGCAGTTCAGGCTGGAAGAAGTACAATCCAAAGCTGACTTCAGTCTGTCTTTCAGAACTTCCTGACTTGTGTTTATCTGTTTTGCAGGTTCAATAGATCTGACTTCAGACTCTGCTGATGGTCTTAGCCCATCCAAAAAGAGGATCAGAACTGTGTGTAAATGTGGAGCTGTGTGTTGTAGAGGATATCTCAACTGAGTTCGGGTATCCAAAGTCACAAATACTTTGTTCTTTTTACAATGTGTTCTAAGAAGACTCTTCTTTCACACATATATTCAAGTATTCTTACATCCAGTGTAAATAAGTCCAGTGAATGAAAGGCATTATGTTTGTAATTGAAATGGCATTGGCCAAAAAGAGATGCAGTGTTTCAGGCAAATAGAAAACTGATAATGGGGATTAAAAATTGTCTTTTCTAGCACTGTTCTTTAGGAAGCAGGAACATGTGTGCTGAGAAACCTCTTGAAAATACACCTTGATTGGAATACTGGAGTGTGAGCTCACAGCTGTAGGCTGATGGGGAGCTGATGTCAGCAGAAGGAAGTGACGTTACTGTGAGAAATCTGGAGACATTTGACTTGAATCCTAACTCATAGCTGACATTTGTTTTGCTGCTTTTGTTGTATAAGGAAAAGCTTCATGAGATCAGCAATAACATTTATGGTACTGAGATGGAGGATTAAGGGCAGCAGCCATCAGGCTGTGTCTAAGTGAAGCTTCACAGGAGCACAAACTGTAAAGTGCCATTGAACTCAGTGCAAGTCAGGCGGTTGGTCTGAGCAGATTCCAGATGTAAGATGAAGGTCTTGAATGTTTAGGTGACATTCTGTTATTTAGTATTTTTACATGTAGGCGTTTCTTCAAGTGCTACATTCTGATGTTTAGGTAGGATGCTGTAGGAGCTCTGCAGCTCTACAGGGAGTTTGTGAGCACTGGACTATGGGTAGTAACACAAGCTGGCTGTTAGCAGTCCTTGTTAAATTGCTGGCTACAGTTTGGCAATAAATAACACAATAGGGAGAGAAGCCCATTGTCTGACAAAGCTGATGTGCTCAGTTATCCCTTAGGTGCACAAATACCCTGGGAGTTGATTTGTATCCACAACTGGTTTTGATTAAATTTTTACATACTGTGACTTTTTTTTATCTAGTGACAGACTTCTAAGATACTAGGCCTGTATTTTCTTGTTGCAAAAATGTTAACTTCAGTGAAGTTAGACTAGGGGTGAGTTTACCCATTTGCTGTAGACATTTGTAAGATATTCTTGAATGTAAAGGCTGAGAAATGTACTGTTCTTCAGCTATGAGTTGTATGGGTTTTTTTCCTGATCATCTTAAAGTTGTCTTGATCAATTCATAATGTATGCAAAGTTTTGCTTGGCTTCGTGAACACAAAGAGCAGTTGAGGTAAGTTATGAGGGGAGTTAAAGCCAGGGATGATCTAAGTGCTTTATTCTCATGGATTAAAAGCTTGTCAGACTTGCACATTGCTTACAAATCATGTTGATAGGGTAAGGGAGAATAACGTTGCTCCATCAATGGATGCTATGTATCATAGGTCAGCTCATCACCTTTATAAGGTGCATGGCTGTTGGCTCAGGTGAATGAAGTCTAGTACCCAGCATAGAACTGTTTACTTCATTTGTTAGAAAATGCCTTAAATGTCACGTTAGTTACTAGCACTCCAAAACAAAAAGTATGTTGGTTGTTCACTAAGAAGCACAATTGATCCAGCTCTCTGGCAGACAGTGGAATTTTATACATTACTGGCTAAAATCAGCTTTGATTGGGGTGAAGAGCGTGGGCCACTGAAGTGCTGTATCAGCACTGTCTCATAAAGAGATGCGTGTTGAAATATAAACTTTATCTGTTTAATGACTAGGAGAAATTTGGCTTAGAAATGAGAAGGATTTGAGGGTACCAGGCTCACCTGTATCCACGCACCTGGATCAGTGCTGAACACAGTCAGTTTTTATCATGCCACATCCCTAACCATTTCATTTAATATATATATATATATATATATAAAGTTTAAGTGAAATGTGGAGCTTTAATATCAGCAAACTCGAGATGATCTTACATCATTTGGAGTTGTTACTGTTTTCTCTTGCATGTAGCCCAGTGGAGCGACGCATTCCACATGGATGGAATCTGCAGTCTCCAGCTCCTTAATCCACTGCTGTCTGCAGCCTTCCCTGTTGGAACAGGATGGAGATGAACTTCGTAGTAGTTGTACATGAGTTCAGTGGCTGCCTTGTCCAAGGAAAGTGTGTTACCATCAGCGCTGGATTATTGCTGCTGTTCCCTGAGGTTCTCTGTTACCTCTTGTGTGATAAATAAAGGCTCCTTAACTTATATCCAGGAGGTAACAGCAGTTTGTATTTATTTGGAGTAAGACCACATATCCAGTTTCCAGCTTAGAGCCTTGAACAGTATTTTTTACTCAGATGTTCCCAGAGCATTCAGATTGTGACCAGTGAATGAGCTTAACAGGACACTGTGTCACTTTTAAAACTCCTCCTACTGTTGTTAGGAGCTTTGGGGGGAAAAATTGCCAAATTTGAAAAAAAGCAAAAGCTGTTTTCAGTTTTTTAAGGAGCTTAAACCAGCTGAGCTTGTCCTTGTTCTGCTTTGTGGTCTGCAAGCATCAGCACGGCTGCCAGCTCAGGTGTGTAGATGTACCTCTTGGAGGCTGGTCACCTGTGAGCTCACCTCTTACTGCTCTTCCGTTGGCTTTCATTTTAATTTTGGGTGGGGTTTTGGTAGCAAATCTAAAGCTGCCAGATCACCATAAGAAACGCTCTTGTCTATTTAATCTCAAAAGTTAAGTCAATCTTTTGGTTCTTTCTAATGTATGGTTTAGGACTCTGTGCATTAGAATATGCAGTTTGTAAGCTCAGGAACATTTTCTTTTCAGGATGTGTAATCTCTAGTATTGCTATCTTCCTCTAGGTTTTGATAAAATAAATTAAATTTAGTTTTTCTCTTGTTGTTGTCATTCTTAACCACAAAAAAAAAATCTAAACCTGCCGCAATGAGCTAGAGCACCAGGATTTAAGACTACAACCTCTTCATTCCTGTACCCAAGTCATCTAGCACTGTAAGGACTGTACAAGAGCAATGGTGAGGAAGTGATGTGTTTCCTATTCAGTTTATTGCACGTAAGAACTGGTATAAATTTACACAATTGGCTTGTTATTCTACATTTAAGCACACTGTAAATGCAGCCCTGAACTTCCATACAGAGAGAAGCCAATGGAAGAAGTTCTGCTCTGTAGAACTCTATTCCTGGAGGTTATTACAACAGCAGGTTCACTCGCTTAACCTTGATAATAAAAACAATTGATAGGCTGTTTGGAAGTGAATGTTAACAAACCCCAGGATGGAGTGGTTGAGGGGCCAGTGGAGAAGCACATGGACTGAAATGTCCTCAAGACAATATAGACATGATAGCAATTTTTCTTGGGTTGCTTTTCCTCATATCAGAACACTGCTGGTGAGATGGGAGAAAGACTGAAGACAGGGAAGAGCTGTTATACTAAAAGTCTGCTTAATTCTTTGGGACTTAAGACCACATGGATGGGAAACCTCATGGCTTTAATTTAGATGACTTGCTGTTTTGGCACTTGTTGGCCCTGCAGTTCAAAACAAACCTGAATGACATTTCCATTTCAGACGCTAAGAATTCCATCCGAGTTAGTTACAATGGCACTCGTGCATGGAGAGAGCTGATTGTCTTGATTTAAAAACCAAACCTGAACATGTCTTAATTCAGTGAAGTCAGCAGAATGTTGTAGAGGAGGTGAAATCTGGTGACACAAGAGCCTGAAGTAACCCAACAGCCTGGCCAGGATGATGGGTTACCTGCTGTTGCTGTGGACTGGCCTTGGAGCAGGCTGCTGCCAGTGGCTGTGAAACCACCCAGGTTTATTTGTTAGTCATTCTGAACAGTTCAGAACAACCCAGAACATGGAGGAATAGGGACAAGTTGTTTGCAATAAGTTAGGTTTAAACCAGTGTGTATCAATCACCTCATTCAGGAGTTTGAGGGGATGACAGTGCTTTTCAGTGTAAACAGAGACTGCTGGAAAAGAACTATTTGATTTATTAAAAAACCCACTTCTCAGTAATTCTATGCCACTTTTTGCAACCACTGTTAAAAACAATTGCAGTGAAAACTCAGATTAAATTCCAAGTGCAACTATTGCATAGTTTGTGTGGTCATACCTGAAAGATGATGTATTCCTACAGTTAAAAATGTGGCATTTTGTTAAAACCTGAGATCACTTCTATCTCAAAGGCAAACTCTTAGAGTTCATGATAAAGAGAAACACTGAACTTCAGCCAGTGTTTAACCCTTAGCTTTGTCTGGTTCGTCTTTTGTCTGCTTGCAGCTCCAGAGAGCTGAAGCTCAGGAGATGGAAGGCTTTCAGGTCCCTCCTGGGAATACCACCTTCTCAGTAGTTCGTGGAAGGAACAATAGTTACATGGGCTACAGCTTCCGAGTTCTGACAGTAAGAGATTCTTGAAAGTATTGCCTAAACCAGCATAGCTGCAGACAGTAACCAGTATGAAAAACAAGTCAGGGTTTAATAAACTTCAGCATTTGTTACCATGATGTGATCAGTTCCACATGTCTTCAGAAGACTCTCTTCTCACAGACTATGTTTTCACCTGCTGCCAGCTTCTTATACAAATAGCGCAGTTTTTCTGGCTGAGGCACTTCAGCATCAGGAGTCAAGGGAATTTCAAAGTCGGAGGAGCTCTGGGAGTCCCTCCTCGGCTCCAGATCCATTGTCCTGGAGTTGTCACTTACTTCCACCACCCCATCTCCAACATGAGTGGTGCTAGCATCTGCATCTTTCTCAGTGTCTTTGCTCTTCAAGTCACAGGCAACATCATGGGCACAAGATCTATTCTGACTAAGTGGCTTGCACGGTCTGCTGTCAAGTGGAGTGTATTTGGTGGTGTCCTGTGATACAGCAGCTGTCCTGCTCCCACCTCTGCTCGTGTCCAAGGCATTCCTCTCTTGGGTGGTAATGAGCACTGTGTCCATTTGGCTGTCCCAGCCCTGGCTGCCCTGCTCTGATATGTGTGTTGACTGGGAAGAGTTCTGGGAGGAGATGTGTGTTGAATCACTGACACCATCTGAATCACTGAAGAGTGACTGGGAGCCACCGGCATCTGCTGAGGAGGGGAAGTTGTCCTCGATGTCAGAGGTTTCTTCTGGTCTGTCGCACTTAAAGAACATGTCCCAGCGAGGGACATCACTGCTGGACTCCTGTTGGTCACTGGTTACCCCACTGAAGTTTGATGTGGAAGTTGCGTCTGGCTCCTGGGAAAGAACTTCAGCCACCATATTGTTTTGAGATTCTTCTTCATCATCTTCATCATCGTCATTTGATTCCTCGCAGTCCATGAAGTCTACCTTGAGCGAGGTGTAAGTTGCAGTCGTTCTGTAACTTTCTGTGCTCTCATCGTTGTTTCCTCCAGTGTTTTCAGACCGTGCTATGCTGGAGGGCCTGCTCTCTCCTCTCTGCTGTTTCAGAATCTTAGGCCTTGCAGCAGTTAGTTCTGAATCAAAGAGATCATCTTCATCTGCCAAGAAACAAATGGAAAGAAAAACACTAAAACTTTGTTGAGACCAGAGTTCTAACAAAAATTCATTTAGTATAAAGAGGAGAAAGTTATTCTCTTTGTCCCAGATGAAGACACAGCAGGACGTGACTGACAGTGTTTGCTTTGCCATGTCTTGCCCAGCACCTTAAGAGAAAGCTGCTCGTTGCCAGCAGCAGCTCACATGTCGCCTTGACAGACACATTTATTCAGGCCTCTGATGTGTTTTGCCAGGACAACATCACCCTTGCAGGATGCTCAGTGCTTGGTGCTTCAGCAATAGCCAAAGAGAACCCAGCAGACCCAAAGCTGCCTTCTGGTTCCCAAGTGACTTCTCCAAAGGCTATGTCCAGCATCCACTGACCATCATAAGTTAAAAAAGCTACTAGGTGCTAAAAAGCAGCGTGAGAGAATGAGGAAGAGCAATTCCAGTGATACACCACTGTCCTCCATGACACAGCAGGTGATACAAGTTGAAAAAAGCTTTACTAAGGCTGGTCTAGGACTGTATCTCTTTCAGCAAAAAAGGGGCTGCTGAGCATTAAGTACACCTTGGTATGGCAAACAAGTGCGTTTCTACACAGCTAAGTCCTCTCTCACCCTTCTAAAACCTACGTTAATTTATGTTTCTCCTCTCTAGCTTTACTATGGGCAGACCGTGATGAACACCACAGCTTGTGCCACCTCTGCTTTATCTCAGACTTTCATTTAAGGCACAGCAGCACCAGCAGAAGCTTTACCTGTATCAGATAAGTCTCTCTTGCAGGCTCTCTTCAGTGTTCCTAAGGGCTTGTACCTGAGTTCTGCGTTTCTCCTGTACGACCTGCATAATGGCTTTAGCCTGAGGTGAACGAGAACAGCAATGAGATTCAGCAGATACTTTCAGGAGCAAAAGTTAAATCTTTAAACTTGATCTGAATATCTCCTTTTTCATTAAGGAGGAAAAGGACCATCTTCATTTTGGTTCAAACTGAACACCACCACTGCTCCTCTGCTCTGTACAAGCGCTTTCTAAGCTGCCAACATGTAGCAGCACAAGGGAACAGGCGTCTGTGACACCATACAGGGGACAGGAGTGCAAGACCCAAGAGAAACCCTGTTTAAAGGAAACTTCTGAAAAGTAGCAATGACAAATAGAAACAGGTCACAGGATACTCTGAGATGAACGTGCATTCAGATTCCACCCAAATGCAGTTTAACAGCAGAAAAGCCTCTACATGGATATGAGTAGTGCATGGAACACAGACTCTCAGCACAACATACAAGTGTTCTTCACATAATATCTGAACTATCAGACAAGCAAAAGGCTGTGGCCTGCAGGAAAGGCTGGAGCTCAGGAGAGCTGTCCTTACAAGAACAGAGATTGGTCACCTCTATCCAGCAGCCACTTGTCACTTACAGTTCCATAACTTTCTCTTCTGTCCCACCCACTGGCAGCACATTAGGATACACATTCACAGGCTGGATATAGCTCAGGAAATCCTTAATCTAAATTCCAGAAAAGAAGCAGAAGTTTAATAATTTAACATGTAACATCAACAGTTGTAATTGCACTTTATGGCAACACTGATCAAACCACACTCAAAACAAGTACCAACTGTTGTCTCATGTAAAGACCAATATGACCCACGAGCCAAAATCTATCCAAGCAGATAGCTCCATAACAAGAAGACAGGTCTGAAAGGACCATGTATCATCAACAGCTGCAGAAACCATCACTACCTCTGAAAGAAAAGGCTGGACAGACCTGCTCCTAGGGAATGTGGTCCTTGCTGCTGGATCTTTTCAGGCCTGCATTTTTCTTACTGGATTTCAAATCCCTACTTGTGTGGATCAGGTACTCTCTTCTTCAAAGACTTCTGGAAAAGTTTCCCTTCAGTTCACTATAAAAGCTCATCATGACAAAACCCATCACTTTTTCTAAGCCTTACTCTGTTGTCTTCTAGGTTCTCCCCAGATAGTAAACTCCTTAAGGAATCGTGTCAGTTTTGGAGCACTCCCCATGAGCTGAGGCTTTATCAGTGCGGTGCACTGAAAACACTGTTGCAGGTTACACTCCTATCTATACACACCAGTAGGACCCATCTGGTTTTGCTCCTAGAGGTAGGAGTTTGTTACAATACACTACCCCCATATGCTGCCATGTATCTACTACAGGATCTTAAAACCAGGACTGTCTTCTTGGTTTCCAGGGCTCTGAATTATCTCCATTTTGGATGTGCAAGGCTTTGTGACAGGTCAATTCTCCAGATTCAGTTCAGCTTCTTAGGAGAGAGAAGTATTTTAAGAACTGGATCAAGTCAGGTCAAATGAATGTTTGATGCTGGAGAGGATGCTGCCATGACCAGTCTCCTTTTAGTGTTTAAC